CTCTTTCCCCTGTAGCCACCCTCCCCCTCCTCCCCCTGCCAGGCTATGGTACACTCTAGGGCAGGGGTTGGCTGCAGGGACCAAAATCCCCTCTTCCCTCACTCCCCTCTTCCCCCCCACCACCAGGGTGTGCACAGGGTTGGGATCAGAGACTGTCACTGACTTGGGTTAATGACAGCCAGGGTGGTGGGGCTGGCCCAGGCTCCAGCAGAGCAAATGAGTTCTGCCTGAGGCTAGAGCACAACCCTGTGCAACGGCCACCTGGGATGGTGGCAATTGCACTCTAAATTAACCCTTGATGGGATCTGGCACAGGCGTTCGATAACACGCTCTAACAGAAAGCACTTTAGGTTAGTACACATCCATCCAGGGGTTAACTTAGAGCAGGCTCTTCCACTTTAAGCACTTTATGTTCTACGAACGTCTCTTCCTGTTACAGCTGTAAAGCACTTTCTGTGCACTTAATGCGCATTAAATGTAACATCTGTATCTAGCCAGAAAATATAAAAGCATGACTCTATTTCACAAATGCGTCTGTGGGTACAAACACTCTCACATAGAAATGAGGCAAATATTTACAGTAAGTAACTCTCTAGCTATCAAAGCTAATAGACTAGATTACAATTTGCAACCTGATAATTTCCTTGATTTTTTTGTTGTGTTTCTATTTTGCCCTTTTCATGTCTGTCTGTATTGAATACTGGCAGCATGGTCTCCTTTTGTTTCTTTTTCCCATCTTTTTTGGCCACAATTTTCTCTTGATCCTTGTTGCCAGAATAGGGGACATAGGAGGTTTATTTGGATGTTATCATGATGAAGAATATGCACAGACAGCCCTTTTAATACTAACTGCATGAAATCTTGTTAATTAACAGATAGGCCTAAGGTGCAGAGTTCCAGTCTAGACCCAAATTTCTGCATAGTTCTGGGAAGGTTAGCTAACAGGCTGGAGTCTGACATGCTGCCACCGCATTTGTCTTTGTGCAATACAGAAACATAGTACTTATAGTTATTACAAAATTCTCTTCTTCCATTAACTGTCCAAATTAGTCATCTTGCTATAGAGAACACATTCAGTAGAGCTGATGATGGAGATTCACAGGGAAAATTTCATAAAACCCTGAGGGAAATGTTATTGCTCAATTGAAAGAAAAGCTCACTGTATGATTACAGGCAGCTGCCATGAAGACTGGGAACAGACATTCAAAACCCTGAGCCTAAATTGATTCAATCTTTGCAGGTTAATCTAACCTAGCTAGGCTGAACCAGTTTGTAACTGGACAGACATTCTCCCTGGACTGAGGAAATTCAGGCACATGCCTGCAGTGACCCAGGCTAGAAGCCAGGGGGCGCTAGAACAGCCTTCCCTTCCCTTGTACAGAACTGAGCTGGGAGTGGGTATGGCCAGGTCCTGGCAGGATGCTCTGATTAGGGAGTTCTGCCTTCACCATCCTAGGCTTTTCCCCATTGGCTGCTCAAGGGGCGGGAATGTTCCCAACCCCCAGCTAGCACTCTGAGACCAGGAGGGGAGGGGTGCAGTGCACGCATCTGTTGATGATATGGAACTTTTTAATCTCCTTCTCCCTGCTTCTTTATACTGTCTGCAGC